ACTGCTCATATTTGAAGCCATTTTCAGCAGCGGTACGATAACCAGAGAGCTAAATCGTCTATCTTACTCTGACTTCAACCAAGCACCCAGGTAAAATGGGAATACATAGAATAAAGTGAGGTACTCGCGGTCTATACAATCCAAGGTGAATTAAATGTGAATAATTCCGTGCTATCTGTGTCAGTCAGTAACATATACTGTACAGCTCTTCGCTTCACCTTTGTTACGCTCTTTATTTTGTCAAGTACATCAAACAGTATGATCTTCTTACTATTGACTTGTATTGGAAAATACGGCGAGACCTTACTATGAAATGTATCACTTTCCAACACTCGATTGGATAAACTCTTTAGTTACCTTAGCTTTAGCCTTCAAATTCAGAATGCAGACTGAACAGTAATCAATATGATTGAAGAGTAAATCAATCAATGGAAATGTAGTCTGTACACCTGTTACCTATACTTAGAGAAGATTAATTCTATTCAGCTGACTTTTTTTGGCTAACTAGTTTTCCCCTTCTCGGACGGATTTCCTCACATAGAGAGTCAGAATATCAGTGAAACAAAGATTAGCAATACATATCACCTATGAATAACTTATCAATTCATAAATAAACCTCAACGACAGCATTGAGTTGCCAGTGCTTCTAGTGTAATCAAATCTGACGCTTTCAATCAATGTATTTTGCATAGGATAAAGTATAGTCTTCTCAACGATTTTGCATAAAACTTCCATCCTTACTTACTGCAAATGTATTTTTTTTGTTGCATTTTTACTGATTTAGGCTAAATTGTAGGCCTTTTTGATTATTTTATAGAGCGAATAAGAATTTGACTTTGATATTCTAACTGATTTATTTTATCATATCCAACAGTTGCTAACAGTAAAGACACATAATTGTCACTTAATTTTACATAATCGTGAAGATACATTTTTCTGACTGAATTCTGTGAAAAGAATCTCTCTGTTCAATAGGCTTCGAGGAAACTAAAGTGACCTATGCTTTCATTTCATGAAACAGACACCCTGGATATTACCATTCACAAATTTTACTCTAATAACTCATAAACAATGCTCAGATTATAAAATAGCTTCACAATACTGCAAGAGTGTGAGCCACATAGTCAAGAGTAGATATGTGCACTTACTGTCCCAGTTTACGCCAAACTACAGTAAAACTGTTGAAACAAGAGTTAAAGAAGCGGATAATTAGGAGAGTATTTCATTACAGGTAAAAAAGGCTTTAAAATCCCATACATGTAATGTGTGAAAGGATGAAACAGCTGTCTCAAACTGAAAGTTCCCACGCCTATTCAGTGCCACTTGATTTACACTGTTACACTAGTCGATACTGCCTTCTGAGAAAACCAATCTTGAAATGATTCACCTACCAAGAACCTTGAATGATAATCCCAGTTAGTGCTGGTATGCCAAATCAGGTGTAAATTATGCACCGAAGACTAATTTGAGTGAAATTAAGAATAGAGTGAAATATAAATTTAGAAACTCAAAACCTCAATTTCTAGTTTCAAATTTACTAACAAGCTTAATGACCTTATGAATTGTGAAAGGGCAAAGTGATACTACTTGTTCATACTATTTTTTGAAAATTGTAAACGGACCGGGTAATTACAGGCTTATTACCTCTATTAGCCAGTTCAAGTTTCTGACCACCGATGAATTAAATACCAGTCGATGTTAAAAAGACATTTTTAAAAGTTACCTACTGTAATCCGACTAATCTTAATCTCACCTTATGAGTTCCTCTTCTACACACAGCTAAAACCATTGGAATCCACCTTACGAAACTAAACTGACATGTTCAGAAGAAGTTCGAACAAATTCTTTCTTTAGCCTTGGTCGTTATCACCTAATAATAAAAATCTGACAGCTGCCTATCCCCTCTAAGCCTTTTACAAGTTACTAGTTACTATTCTAACTATTATCTTTAATTATAGCACAAACTTTCTTCTTAATTTTATCTGAAATTCATACATTTTATCACTAATATCTAATTTGACTTGTAGTTCCACTGATCTTAACAACTCGATGTTACTGGAAGAAACATCAGTGTTGTCGATAACAATCACTCTTTAAACATTATGCATATATGATTGTAGTGGCCAGATGAAGAAGTCACTGAAAAGAATTTTCATTGATTATTTTTTTGCCTGCGGAAAGTCTAATATTCCCATTTTTAATATTAGAACATGACATATAGGCGAACAATATTGTTTTCACTTAGATCTTCATCAGGCTTTATCCTAATTTTTTTTCCTTCACGTCCCTCAGTGGAACATAGGGCCTCAAGCTAGTGGCTTGAAGTTTCTGTAGCAGTGTTTATTTTACAGGGTGGGGTTGCTAGCCAGCGTCATGCCCAACCTATCCTCTTTACCAGCATTATTTCTGGCTTAGCGAGGTAAAGTAGTGCCTCGGCCGGGGGTCGAACCCCAGACCATGTGCATGGTCGGCAAGCGTCCTAACTGCTATGCCACCGACGCTTTACCCTAATTTACAAAGATTTGTATGTAAAAAATTTCAACCAATGACGGTGATTTTGTAGATCAAATAATAATAATACTAATAATGTGGTAAATGTTTTGAAGGTAGTTAATAACAACTACAATAAAAGTTTTTGTATTTCCCAATGAATGAAAAACAAAAAGATATTGTTTTTACTGACGTTTCGCTATTTAATGCTAATAGCTTTCTCAAAGTAAAAACAATATCTTTTTGTTTTTCATTCATTGGGAATTACAAAAACCTTTATTATAATGAATATCATATACCCAATGCCCAAATTTTTTCAAACCGTTAAAAGTAGTTAATAACAATATTTATAATGATAACAAAATATTGATAATAAGGCTTATGCATGTGGCGATAAGAGGAATAACAAAGGTAGTAATATGTGCATATGTAGACAATTCAATAAATAAATTAGGTCAAATCTTAAAAGTTACGTAATACTAAAGGTGAAGTGGACAGATAATTAGAGTTTAAATAAATATCATAAAAATATGAAGGATATGGAAATAAGAAGGGGTGGGAGGGTTTTGAATAGAATTCACCTAGGCCAAGGGAGAGACAAAAGTAGAACAAACTTCTTTTGTATGCAAAGACTAGGATTGTTCTCTCGAATTCCCATAGCCTAGGCTATGTGTAAAAGACGGATTCGAATTCCGTTCGGAAGGCTCGGTTGAATGCGATAGATAACTTTGAAGGCACTATTTCTGTCCACTTGGTGACCGTTATCAATCAAATGAACCAAAATAGAACTTCTTATAGATTTTATTTGACCTTTTCCGAAGCATGAAGGAAGATGCTCATTAATGCGTCTTTAGGCTGTCTAGTTGTTCGCCCTATATAGCTGTCTCCACAGGAGCAAATAAATTTATAGATACACATAGAAGTGGCACAGCTAGGTAGTTTGTCTTTCATATATATATATATATATATATATATATATATATATATATATGAATCTATGTAAATTAGAGTAAAGCCTGATGAAGATGTAATTAAAAACAATATTGTTCGCTCATATGTCTTGTTCTAACCCAATAATATTTCCAATTAGGCGTTAATGAATCCACTTTTGATAGTAGTTATATATATATATGCGCATTGTTGAATTACAAATGTGAATGCCCAAATCAAATTTTGGAAACAATAGTCATTTTAAGAGAATATTTGAGTAGAGTAATGACGATTTACGTAGTTATAAAAGTATTAGTTTAATGTGACCTTGTAGAAATGAAAATTAAGCTATAGAATATGGGGTATAAATACTTTTAATTTGTATAGCTCGTAAAAAATCGTCTTTTATGCTGAATATTATCCTACTGTTTAATTAGTCATCAGAGAAACAAGTGATGAAATGCCGGTGATTCTCATTGAATGAGAAACATCAAAAATAGATCCCTTTAGTACAGTTGTTTCTAAGAATTAGTCATGTAATGGTGAACTTTGTAATATTCTACTCCCAAACAATGATTAAAATCAATCTATCGGGTATGCAATGTGGTCATTTATTTGAGTGATTCCCTCTGAGTGGCCACAGATAAGTCAGTAAGAAGTTTTGTGTATTTTAAGCTGAACTTCTTTGCTTGTCAACATTCATTGGCCTACTTGAAGAAGGTCATGTCCATTAGGAAATTTATATTTTCACTAATCAGTTGTGAAGTTATAAAATCAGTCACGAAACTGTTTATTTCAGAAATAGAATTAGCCTCACAATTTTAACCGACACGATCATCTTATCCTAAATATATTAATAGATTTCATGAGAAATCGATGTGTGTTCGTCGGTGGCACAGTGGTTAGGTCTCTCACCGACCATGCACATGGTCCGGAGTTCGATCCCGGCCGACGCACACCTGATATCTATGGTCGGCCTGCGAAATTTGGGCTACCGATATCCATGCTGAAAATTCCATACATGTACCGAAAAATACGGTGTGAAATCAAGCTGTAATAAAAAAAATGTGAGAACTGTTGCGTCCTAAATTTTAGAAGTAGACCGTAATCCCACTGCATATAGTACCAAAAGCTTAACATATTAACATCCAGCATTCGTGGTGGAACCTAAAGGCTAACTGCTCTAAGCCTGTGATAGATATGCCTCGAAACCAATTAATTTTGTTTTAAAAGAAAATGTGATTCCTTCAAGTTACAGAATGTTGAATGACGCGTACATAAATAATAGCAATTAATGTTGCTTCATGAAAACAAAGAGGGTTCAGTAGATTAGATTTGGGTGAAGGCGGAAGCCAGACAACAGCGATTACTTTCGAGTCATGATTCAGTGTACAAGAGTTAATTATTGACATACATTCCATATACATCCTTCCTTCTAAACATTGAATATAACTAGTCACTCGGTGATTGATTTTTTTTATTACTCATTCAGATTATTGATTGGTCTTACTATTCTCCCAGTAGATGCAGTTAAAAAAAAACAATAATCAGTGTGTAGAACTTTAGCTATTCACACTCACCGCTAACTTGATCGATAGTTCTTTTGACATAATGACACCCTTTTGTATTTCAATCTCAGCTGTTGATCTAGTACATCGTTCAGTTCGAAAACTGTATTCTTGTTCTGAATCTGTATTATTCTTGAAAGTTGTTGAAAATAGGGTATGTGATTTGGGCAGTTTAACAGTAACATTATCAAAATACTCCGGTTTCTCATGTGTAACAAAAATATCATCCCAGATAAAACGTAATCCAAGCTCAACGGGATCATGTTTTTTCTGCTCTTTCGTAGCTGTAGTATGAAACATATTCACTGCCCATATTTTTAATTGACTGGGCAGATCAAATAATTCAGGTTCATGAGTTGGAGGCTTCTTTGGAGATGCTGAGTGATTCATTCAACTGGTTATCTTTTTATTGTTAAATATATTCCGGATTGTTTATAAATATTGGCGATCAAATATGAATAATATAACAGACTGGTAAAAACATTCGTCTTTTAAGACTAGACTAAACTAATCTAAGTGTCGACCATTCGACCCACCTACGCACCCACTCACCTGTTACGCTAATCCTATTGGCTAAATATTCCAGATTTTATTAGCAAATCAAAATTCAGATCTACGCCAGCTTGACTGTATGTATGTATACAGCGTGTCTGGTAGTCACTATTATCTTTCAGCATGAAATTAAATCTTGTCACCAGAGCGAGATCAGTTAGTTAGGTGAGGTAAGAAAGATTACTATTCAAGTATATGTATGCATGGATATAAGTTAAATTTGTCCCCCCATGCGTTATACAAACATGGAAGGAAATTAAAAGGACACGAATGCAACCGAAAGTATTATTTTCATAAATCAGTGTATTTTCTAGTTCGAGTGAAACGAATATTACTAAAATTCTTGACCTGTAGCATTCTGTATTAGTGATATTTATACTATGCGTTCAGATTAAATGAAAATAAACGGTGCTAATTTTAAGCAGTACTGGTCACACGGGTTAAAACGAATTACACAAATGCTGAAAACTGAAGGACAATCCACATTCATGTGCCAGTTTAGGAATTTACAACAGTATGGTTGAGACAGGAGTCATCAGGCTTTACAATGCTCAGAATACTGCATAGACAATGGGTTTCAACACATAGGACTACTATGTCTTCCAACGCCAATCAAAGCACGATGTGCCATCACTCACATCAAGTGAGTAACTGTCCCAAGAAATCCATATGGTTTATTGCAGTGATTATGGTTAATTTTACAGAATATGAGAAGTCCATTTAAAATCTAGTCGCATTAAATAAAAACTGGTTTAGGGCAACCGGGATCTTCACTAGTTTTAAGAAAGATTTCACTACCCATTTAACACCAATTAAAAAGCTATTGAAAACCAATATGAATTAAACATTCCTGTCATCTTAGTTTAATATGCTTCAACACTTCACATTAGGAATCCCACTTCAGGATCTAGTCCAAGACTATCGCATCTCATGACTAGTAAACAATCATTCAGTACTAGTGAATCAAAATAATCTGACACGAGTTTTCCACATCTGTTAACGCGTGATGCTACTGTCTGATATTTCTTGTTTTTGTTTTTCAGTGATTCCACAGTCATTAACGATGCGTGGTGAAAACTGCAATAAATCCTCAATATATCATCTCATTGTCAGTAGATATTTGTGAAAAGTACTAAAGTTACTCATTTGGTAAAAGCATCTACAACTGATCAATATAAGAAAGTGGAAACTATTCATGTCTACCAACAGTATCTGATAGACAGATCAAAAGACTAGATGACTGCTCCTGCCATTTAGAGTGACATTCACCATCTGTTTACCCTCAGTGATTCAGTCCATATTACTTTGATTGGACACTAGGTATTCACTAATGTCATGCATCTGGTCCTTCGTATTGATGCAGTCTGAATTCCGTGAGTCAGGTTTGCAAGGTAGCCACTGTCTTAAGTGTCTCACCATCAGGGTGTACTCTGAATTGTTATCAGATTTTTTTTGGAGGTATCCGGCAGGAAGCCTTCGACCTAGGTTTTGGGCTCTCATAGCAAGGTGTATCTGCAGTCTTCATGCCGCTTCTGAGATTCGAAACCACCTCGCTCACGAGTGCCAACAAGTCTAATGTTTCCCACCGATCAGGTCAAATGATTTGACATCAGTTCAAATCACTTCACTCTTGATAAGCTTATTAGGAGAAATAGTAGAATTAAAATAGAATAATTACATACTAAATTTATTCGGTTACACATATGATGAATTCAGTGCATATATGTAACAAATATTGTTAAATTATTTAATTTCTTCTCCTCAACTAACTTTTATCAGTAGTATGTATCAGCTAAACACCATTTTTAGGGCTTATTGTTACGTCTTGTTTAGGTATAATTAAAATGCTGGTTGAGTAATTATTCTCTGAGAAGAAACAAAACACCTTTTTACTAACTAATATCCGACTAAAATGAAGAATAAGTAATCATGTTTATATTCATCTTTCTATCTTTCTTCTCATTAAAACCAAAACTTTGGTGCGATTCCATATTATAAATAAGTTCATTTGATATAACACGCAGCACTAATAACTAGATGATGTTTCGAGCACAATTTATTGTTAATAATCATATATCATTGTATTCATACGACCTGATAACATGTTTACTAGAGATATATGGATAAATTTCAAAAGTTAGTTTGTAGGGATTTGATTTATTTCAGGTCTGACCACGGATTAATATCAGTTAGGGAATCACTGAACGCCAGGGAGTACTGGAAAGTTGTTTTGTCTCAGTTTGTGACTCCTAGATTGAAACTCAGGAACTTCCGGTAACAAGGCAAGCTCGTTGACCATTCAGGTCCTGGTGCTGAAATTGAAGTCACGGATTGGTAGAAGTTGGAATTCATAGGCTGACCACTGAGTCGAATCCCAATGGCTGAATGCTATGCCAGCTTGCCTTGTAACGGGAATGTCCTGGACTCGAAACCCTGGGGTTGAATACTGCTGGTGAGTCCCAAACTAGGATGAAACAGCTGTCCAACACTCGCTATTTTTCAATAGTTTTCCAAATGACATCAATCTGTGATCAAAAGTGACATTCGGATACCTCACTAACTGTGCTTAAATCTGAATGTATCCCTTCACAAAGAAGTAGATGGAATCCAACTCACTTTTTAGTCAGAAAATGAGGAGAGTGAGTTAACCATACTAGACTGTAAAATCAAACAAAAACAGGATGCTGAGTTAGATACTAGCATTTATAGGGAACTGACATGCTCTAATTCACCCCCTCATGAATCGATAAAGATGGGTTTAGTTATTTGTCAATATAGTCGTGTCAGAAGCCTAACCAGTAGGCCAGAAGATTGAATAATGAAATCAGACAAATAAAGAAAACACCATTGGAGAGTAACTATCCACCAGAATTTATTCAAAAATGTGAGAAGACCCAAAGGAAATATAAAAGTATTAAATCAAATAATGGAAATAGTACAAATACTAAGAAATTCAAAGTCTTTGTAGTTCTGTCATACAAAGAAGGAACGTCAGATATTCAACGTAGGAATACTAAAAATGGTAGAATAGGGTGGCATTTAAGCCAGGCTACTCTCTGGGAGACAAATTTTATTGCCTTAAGGACTGAATAGATCCAATTAGGGAAAATAACATAGTTTACCAAATACCATATAATGACTATGAGGTCAATTACACAGGTCATACTAATAGGTTGAGGTCAATCAGATTATGGGAACATAGGAATTTATCTAAGTCTTAAATGACTGACCGCGCTAGGCCAAGTAGTCTAGAAAAAGAAAACTAGGCCACTGAGAGGCATTCACTCACATGCAATCACACAATAGGGTCGGACAGAGTAAAAGTATTAAATAGCAATATGGTTAGGTGGAGAGAAATACAATTTAATCACTGAAACTTTGTTCATCTAATCAACAATGAGCATGTGCAATAGAAATCACGCAGGATCTAAACAAGATATGTGTTATAACTGTAGGGAATTGAATGAAGACGTTTTCACCTTGCTCTGTCTGCGCCTGAACTAATCTGTCTATCTGCTCGTCGTACCTTCCGGCTTAGTAAAGCACGCAAATATCAAAAGACAAAGGCTGGACTGTGACTGTGTATTGAAGTGCAACAACGACAAAGAAAGCCATGGTATTTATACATTTTACAACAATATGGACAGCTAACAGCATTTGAAATAATTGATCTTAATAGCCAATAACAAAGTGCGTGAGAGATGATAATATACCATATGTGCGAGATTGACAGTCAGTAACAAAATGTGTGGGAATGATATACCATATATACAAAATTAGCAGTCACTACCAAAATGTGTGAGAATGATAACATACCATATATGCAAGTTTAAACAGTCAATACCAAAATATGTGGGATCCTATCACCTCCCCCCGTAAAGAGTGTAGGACTTGCTTTTTGGATCTATTTGAAAAGGTTTCGGAGCTCTTCTTTGTCGAGTTGACCTTTGCGTGGTACTGGATAGAGCGTGATCTGTGTGTCTGACACATAACTGTCCTTTTTCATTCGTACGATAATGCAGCAAGAATTTATCCAAAATTTTTCTGTTGTTCCCTCCCCCTTCGCTTTTGCATAAGCACGCTTAAAGGTGTCGACGAAACGTTCAGTCTGTCCATTCGATTGGGGATGATACGGGGGGCTACGAATATGCTGGATGCCAAACAGTTTGCAGCAACCAAGTTTGTCCTGGAAGACAGAAGCGTGCTTTTGACGACGGCGTTGCAAGAGAGATTGATCAGATACATCTCCGGGAACAACGTTGTGTGGTGAAGACGAAACATTAGAGCATACTGAATTTAATGGTACATTAAAGATATGGAGCTTGTCTAACCAGTCAAGACCAAGCAAATCCAAATCATGGTAGTTTGTAACGTAACATACACCATTGAAGTGATGCTCACCAAACTGAACCTGGCAATTGATCTCACCCACGAGTTTCAGTATATCTCCAGAGACATTCTTGGCGACATGCTCGGTCGGCAGAATCTGTGGGCAACCAAGTTTGCGCCACGTAGTTCGGGAAATTACGGTGATATCTGATGCCGTATCCAACTGAAGACGAATACGTTTGCCGTTAATATCTAGTGTTATGTACTTACGTTTGCTGGCGAACTCGACTTTGGAAGTTGTATAAACGGTCTGTACTCGAGGAGATTGTTTCGGCTTGAAACGACTACTTCTGTTCCTCACCGAAGGATTTTTCTGCGGTGGACAGTAACCCTCCTTATGTCCAAAACGGTGACAATTACGGCATTTATGCTTCTTGAAAGGACAGAACTTGACAAAATGCCACGAACCACAGTGCCAGCACACTGAAGGAGGTTTAGCTGAATTTTGA